TAAAACTGTTACTCTTCCTCTCCACATCCCCCCAAAAAGAAAACTCAAGAGTTAACTGTGTGGATAATGTGTGTATGTCTATGTGTATGTGCATGCATGTATATCTCACACACATATACACACATTCTGAAATAACTGGTTTTTGATTCTATATCTTTTAATGCTTAGGACAAAAATCAAACCTAAGTGTTCTTGAGAGGCATTATAGCCAGTTTTCAATTATATTTTTTTGTATGTGTTTTTACAGAACAGGTTTCAGTGTGTTTACAAATAAAAATTCCAATCAGAGTATCCTTCCCAAAACAGTTAGTGTTCTTAAACCTCCAGAATTCATTAAAATATCATAGATTATCCTTAAATGCATCACTGCCTAAATAATGGGCCAACCTGAAGAATGTACATCCAAGGAACAATGACATCTTAGTTGAATCTCCAGCTTAGCCAGAATTTACCAAAACACCACTTAGAGATCAACTATTTGCTTTTATGTGTTTAGTAATTCCTTTTTCTTTCTTATTATTCAACCTCAAGAAACAAAAATGTTCATCAGAAAGGATATTTTTAAGTTTCTCTTTTAAGGCTACTAGCTTTTAAAATATAAGAGTAAAAGATTAACCTATAGGCCCCAGATATTTCAGTGCTAAATGAATTGTTTAAATTTTAACCTTAAATTCAATTCTAATGTTCAGTTAATTAGATAAAAATAAAAATGTAGGGATCCAAATAAAATATAATGAATCACATGACCAATTATAACACTATTCATATTTAATAAACACAAATTTTATAAGAGAACCCAAATTAAATATTTCAATTCTCCAAATATTAGTTGGGGAACAACAAAGGTCTCATAAGTTAAGGTTGACACTCAACCATGTCAGAGAATCCCAACTCAAGTACCTAAAATGGGGTAGGGTTTATAGTCAGTTCTTTAAGGAGAATGAAACCAAAATGAAATTCTTATCATTTTGGAGAGCATTAGGAGCCCCCTAGCAAGATCCTGAAACTTGTGTTTCAGTAATCGCCTCTCAAGAGCATTAAGACCACATGAGACTTATTGTCAGGGTTACACAAAGTTATGTTAAGATGGCCTTTTGAACACCATACAAAAGCCTATAGGTATGATAACCACAGAGAAACACATGGTGTCCAGTATACATACTACTCACCACCCCCCCTTCACTCCGCCCCAAATCAAGTGTCCCAGAAAATTCCAAATGTATGGCTGCAGTAGTCAGCAGAGTTCTAGCAAGAGGGCAGCAAAGCCTAAAATATACAGCAATTTTCCCCTCAAATCAAAACTTGAAAGAGCCTACAAAGTGTAGGATCAGACTAATCAGTCACTATAATCCTCATGCATGAGGGGCAACTCAATAGGGAGGCAACCCTACATGTCACAAAGTCGAAAAATCACTTAAGCAAAAGCTTATTTTTTCCTATGGATAACACACATTTCTTAAAAATCAAAAGAATCCTCATTTAAATTTTGTACAAGCTTTGATAGGCAGTATGGTAGCACTGCCATAGTATGTCAACCCAAAAGCCAGGAAACCTTGGATTCAAATCCCACTTTTAATAGATACTGGCTGTATCTGTCACTACAGCAAATCACTACAGCCTATTGGTGTTTTAGGCAACTCTCTAAGATTATATACATTGCAAACAAAGTATCTACCTGCACTGGTAAAGAGCCTAGGAGTTCCCTATACCAATGAAATCACTGGTCTAATCCCCGATTCTTCCAAGTTCTTTTAGAGAACATTTACTTATCAAGAACTAGAGTTCTCAAATGCTAGGCAATAAGTTCCTCTCATATTTTAGAGGCAAACGTTTTTGTAAAGATCATTAATATTATTTCAAGACTTAAAACAATCTTCTGCCAACAGATTTCGGCCACCCCCAACCCCCACTACACTTTAGTAAACATGCCTTTATAAGCAATGGTGTCTAATCTACTGGTAAGCAACCTTTCCAAACTTTACTAAGCTAGTCTTTGGATCCTGGACAACAAAAGTTTAAGCTATGATTTCACTGGTACAGGTCTTTACAATAATAATTAATCAACAAATATTTATTAAGCACCTACTATATTCCAAGAACTATGATAACTGTTAGAAATATAAATACAAATAAGGGAAGGCTTCACAGAAGACAGGGGTATTTGACTTAGGCTTTAATTGACCGGGAAGAAGTCTAGAGGTAAAAAGGGACAACATTCCAGAAATAGGAAACACTGAGCACAGGCAAAGAGCCATAAGAATACTGAGTTGTTTTGGAAGCAGAGTAGTCTAATTTGGCTTGTAATTAAGAGTTGATAGATAAATACAATATGAAATAAAGTTGTTGTTAGGGTGGCACTAGATTTTAGACAGCTTTGACAGCCACATAGAGGAGCCTAAACTGTACTCACTGGGAAATACTAAATAATTGAAGATTTATGAGCAGAGGAGTGGGTGAAGAGTGATTTTGGGGTGGAGGGAAGGAGGGTCAAGCCAGGAAGAGTGCCAGCAGAAGACCAGCAAAAAGGCTACCACAACAGTGTTGACTATCTAACCAGAAAAGGAAATGGAAACCAGAGATGTTTCAAAGGCAGAATCCATGGGACTTGAGAAATGATTGGATTAGAAAAGTGAGGAAGAAAGATGAGTCAAAGACAAGACCAAGGGAAAACTAAGTGAAAGGATGTGCCTCAAACAGAAACAATGAATTCAGAAGGAGAAACAGTTTTAAGAAGAAAAATAATGAGCTTGGTTTTCAACATGTTGTTTGAGGTGCCTGTGGGATACTAACAGAACCTGCTAGAGTTTGCAATCTGATCAAATTAAATCAGAAAAGAACTTTAGAATTAGATTTTAGTTTAACATGACTGAAACAAAATCATCAGATGAAAATAAATTATATAGTTCTGATCCTTTTCCCTTTATATCATAGAGAACAGGGAAAAGTGACTACTTTCAAAACTTGAAGTTACATCATGTAAAGAGTACCGAACAAATTGACAGGATGCTAATTACCTAATCAAGTTACATTTTACTGTACATTGATATCTAGGATTCCTTCCACATCTAAAATCATATCTATGATCCTATGCTAACTTCAAACTGGGGGGAAAAGGCTTTCCCTTCACAAGCAGTATGTGTCAAACCTTCCAACATTACAGTGAAAGAACAAAAGGTCTTCTATAGGCAAATTTAATGGGTGCTACGACACATTAATGTCAATTCAATAATAAACCGGGTACAAGGTATTGTACTAGCTGGAAATTTTTGAAGAATTTTCTCAACCCTAATCCCCTAGCACTTAAATCAGAAGGAAAAAAAAAATGAGGCAGGATGGTTAATTTAATTGAGAGGTGTAACCACTGTCAAAAATCAAGTTAGAAGACCTATTTCCCCAACCCTGGGTCCTTTTTACCTGATTTCAATTAAGCAAACATGAAACAAAAATAAAATTTAAAAGGATGCTGTAAAAAAATAAACCAAAAATATAAATAAACATGTACCAAAAAGTTCTGGATCTTACGAAATCACGTTACAAGAATCAATTTTCCTAAACTATTTAAATACCCACAGGGCACACAATTCAGATATGAGTTCTGTTCTTGTAAAAAGATAACTGAAGAATCTGAAATAATTATTCTTCCACAAGAAAATGTGTAGAATTTTTGGCAGGCAGATCATCCTGACATTCTATATGGCTCCAAGCGTCAATCAACCCCCAACTTTTCTATCAGTTAGGTTTCCTCACTATCACCACACTCACTGTCACCTACATAACCCACTCTTCCAACACCTGACACTTTCAGAGTCTTTCTGAAGCTCCAAGCTATATCATGAAGCCAAGAGGCAGACACCATCAGTCTTTGTGGTCTTAATTTTTCCACAAATGAAGGATCAAAATTACCCTGAATAAGGGTCATCCCCGCCCCAAGATTTCACTACCTGCTCCCTAAGATCCTAAACAAAGGGGTAAACGTTCTGTTAAATTCTAAGTACTCTGTTTAGGGGGGAGAAGGGTTCAAGGGAAAATACAAGCACCCCAGCCCCCACCCATGATCCTTAAATATTTTCCCAATGGGGGGGAAAGCCAGGAGAAAAAAAGCTCCCCCCAACCACCCACATACCCTGGAGAGCTCCATCTTTCCCCCACCATGCTAATTTTTACTTCAAAACTGTAACCCTTAAAATGAGTCTACACCACCCCACCCCCTTGGGTCTGGGCACTGTGACCATCATCTACCTTTGGAAAAGGGGCAGATTTGGTTCCTAACCTACTGGGTCCTTAAGGACCCCCCACTACGGGGCCTCCTCCCCACCCATTTCCCCACCCTCCCCACCTAGCGCCCCCAGTCTCCCGCCCCCCGCCCCAGGTCAGGGGGCTGCTGCTCCTTGGGAGATTTCAGTGCCACGGAAAAGACAAAACGCCGGCCAAGTCGAGGAGGGTGCCCCCACATACACATACACATACACATACACATACTCATACACATACACACACACACACACACACACACACACACACACACACACACACACACCCCCACACCCACACACTCCCACCCCAGGGCGTCCTTGAGAAGCTGCAGCTGCAGCCCAACAAAGTTGAGCCGCGCGGGCAAGGCCGGCCCCTCGGGCCCCCAGGGCCTCGCCGGCGAGGGCAGCTCCGCGGTCCTCACGAGGGCCGGGGCGGCGGGGGAGGCAGAGGACGGAGCAGGCCCCGCAAGGCCGGCGAGGCCCGCCGACAGAGGATTTAAAGGGACGAGGGCCGGGCCCGGGCGCGGGGCCCGCCGGGGCTGGGGGGCCGGACGCACGGGGGCCCTCCCCGCCCGGGCCCCGAGGCACCGAGCCCCCGGCCGCCGAGGCGGGGGAGGCCCGGCGGGGGCGGGCGGCTGGGCCCGGGGTCTGAGGGAGCGTGGCCCCGAGGAGGGAGCCGGACCGGGGGCGGCGGGGGCCCGAGGGGGCCGCGGTTGGAGGGCCCGAGGGGCCGGCGCACTGACTGACCTGCGAGTCGCCGATCGGCGGGGCCGCGCGCGGGGGCCGCGCGAGGAGGGGGAGAGGGGGAGGGGGTGCCGCTCCCTCCGGGTCCCCCCGAAAAGGAGGAAAAAAATCCGTCCGGAGTTTAAAACAAAGAGGCGGAAATGCCCGAGCCTAGCCGAGCGAGGAGTCGGGGGCGCCGCGCTCCGAGCATGCGCACTGCGCCGGCCCGGCACCCGGGGCTCCCCCCGCCCCTCGGCACGCGGGGGCGACGACGGAGCGGAGCGAACAGAGGAGGGCCGGCCGTGAGGGAGGGGGCGGGGGCGACGGCGCCGGCGCGTCCCAGGAAGTCTCGGGGCTCCGGCCGAGAGGTGTCTGGGTCACCTGGCTGGGCGTGGAGTTTATCTCTGGGGGCGGGACCGCCGCCCGCCTTCCCTGCCCCGCAGCCTTAGGACCCTTCGGAGCGACCCTCGCCCCAAAGGGGTCCTCCCTCCCCCTGAGGCCAGAGCCCGGGGGTCCCGCCTGATGTTTGGAGGATGGAGTGAAAGATGTGGGGGCTTCGGGAGGGAAGGGCTAAAAATATACCCCCCCAGCAATCCCCTCCACAAACCCACCAAGGGAAGAAACGATGTCTGGGCCAGAAGCGGCCAGTTTGACACTTTGCAGAATCACAGACTCTGAGCTGGGAGGTTCTTGATTGGTCAGCGGATTGGTCATCTCCTCCCCCCCAAAATGCCCCAACAAGTGGTCATCTAGCCTTGACTCCAAGATCTCTAGGGAGGCGGAACCCACTCCCTTCTGAGGCAACCAGTTCATTCGTTTTTGAAGGGCAGAAGGGTGGAGCAAGTTGTTCTTTACATCCAGGTGACACCTGGCTTCCAGTACTTCCACCCGTCTCTCCTGGTTCTGCCTTCTGGGGCCAAGCAAGCGAGGAAGAGAGGAAGGCAGGAACTGTCCAAGTGCAAGCAGTGGGAATAAATGCACAAATGTGCCTGCCTTCAAGCGGCACCTAGAGAGTGTATCAACCTTCTTTCAGAGGACTAGCCTTAAAATACTTGAGGACAGATAGCAGGCTTTTCTCTGGGCTAAACACCTGCAGCTGCTTCAATCAATGTTCTTACTCTTAGGTAGCATAATCTGCAAGCTTCTGAGCGTCAGACCGTCCTCTGGATATGCTTCAAGTTGAAAATGGCCTTCGTAAAATGTAACACCCAAAACTAAATAAAATATCCCAGATATTATCCGAGTACAGTGGGATTATCACTTCCCACTACTTCTTAATGCAGATTTAGCTATTTTGGCTGCCATGTTTTGTCTCTTTGAGCTCACAGTACACTAAAACTCCTTCATCTTTTTTCACATAAATCATTAGCTAGTCACAGCTTTCCACCTTGTACTTGAGCAATTGATTCTTTGAACCCAAGAATGGGACTTAACATTTATCTATTAAATTTCATCTTTTTTTTTTAATTCTGCCCATCATTCTAAGCTACTGAAAACTTTGGAGCTTAACATTCTTTCACCTAACCTGGTAGCAAAACTGTCCAGCTTTGTGTTGTCTATAAATTTAAGGAGCATGCCAGCTATTCCTTTCTGCTTGATAAAACTATCATACAGTAAAGGGCCAATGGAGTGCATCATGAGAGAGCTCTCTCCCAGTCGTTATCAACCCATTAATGCCTATTTTTATAGCTAGTTACTCAACTTATTCTGAATCCTCCAAATGATACAATTATCTAGATTATATCCCTCCATCTTCCACAAACATAGCATGAGAAACTTTGTTAAACATTAACCTGAAATCTAGGCAAATTATGACTACAGCATTCCCTGATCTACTAGTTTAGTATCCTGTCAAAAAAAAAAAATGAAGTTTGTCTGGTATGACCTGTTCTTGACAAACCACTTCCCCTTCTAAACGTTCACAAACCATTTCTTTAACAATACATTCTAGCATTCTGTCAGGAATTAAAGTAAAGCTCACCAGCCTATAATTTGCAGGTTGAACATTTGCCGTGCTCCAGTCTTGCAGCACTTGTCTCATTTTCTATTATTTTTCAAAGATCATTGACAGTAGCTCAGAAATCACACTATCAGTTCCTTCAGTACAGTGAGATATGATTCATCTAGGTCTGGTGACTTGAACCCATCCATGGCATCTGTGATGCTGTCTCACCATCTTCTTGTATATCTTAGGTTTTATTTCCCTAGCCACCATTTCTCCTTGGCAGAAAAAAAAAAAAACAAGCAAAATAAGGATTGAGTAGTTCTACTTTCTCCCTGTCATCCATTGTCACCACCTCCATTCAATCTATCCCTTCTTTGTTTTTCTTTTTTCCAACACAGCCAGGGGATTCCAGAGAATTCATAGGCTAGCTAATGTGTATGTAGTAGGAGAATGGGGGATAGAAGTGGTAGTTAACAAACCTCTTGGTGCTTTGCATTCCTTTGGCATGGACCTTCCACATCAAACCAGTCCCACTGGAAGATGATGACAGATTGTTGTGAGCAAAGCACTTGGTAAACGCTAATCAATCAGTGAGCATTTATCGGTTATTTAGTGTGTGGGAGGCATTGTGCTAAATGCTGGGGAAACCAAAAAAGACACAAATACAAAAACATGGTCCCTACTTTCAAGGAATGACTTTCCAACAACTACATACATGTAAGATACCTACAGAGTAGATGAAAGGTAACTCAGAAAGGAAAGCAGTCAAACTGGGGGGAAGGGACTGGAAAAGGCCTCTCACAGAAAGTGGAATGTAAACTGAGTCTTCAAGGAAGCAAGAAGGTGGAGGTGAAGAAAGAGAACATTCCAAGTACAGGGGAAGAGCCAGGGAAAAATGGCATGGAGGTGAGATGAAGTGCCTTGTGTGACTTGTGGCATCAAGAAGGCTAGTGTCACTAGATCATTGAGTACATGGAGAGAAATAAAATATAACAACACTGGAAAGGTAGATGGGCTAGGTTATGAAAGGCTTTAAAAGTCAAACAGAGGATTGTATATTTGATCCTGGAGGCTTTAAAGTTCATAAAGGTGGGGGGAGGGAGAAAGATGGTCAGATCTGAGGTTTAGGAAGATCACTTTGATGCAGTTTAGGTGTTCAGGTGTGCTTGGGCCCCAATATCACAACACGCAAGTCCTGCCAGAAAGAATTCGACCCAAGCCTCTTTCAGCCAAAGACAAGGTTTATTAGAACATTGTCATATTGGGCAGACTCTTAAGGAGTGTGAACATGGGTAAGCAGTGGCTAGATTATAAGAAGCAGAGCAGTGGCTAGATTATAAGAATCCCAGCAGTGGCCAAATTTTATGAATCTAAGCATCTTGATGGAGACAAGGTGGACCTTATATACAGAAAGACTGTGGGAGGGACCTAGGAGTGGCCAGTAAGCTGGAGTTAACAGAACTCCTGGGACCTGGACCTCATGGCCAAGGGAAAAGCGTGTTGTGATATTGGGGTCCCAGCACCCCTGAACCTCTAAACCACATCAACTTTGGCAGCTGAATAGAGAATGGACTGCAATTGAGATAAATGTAAGGCAAGGAGATAAACCCAAAAGAAGCCTAATGCAAAAGTCCAGACCAGGCATGAAGCACTGAGATCCTACACCAGGTAGTTGTGTGAGTAGAGAAAGAGACCTATACAAGAAATGTGTAGGGGGGAAAAACTAATGGAATATTCTCCTGGAAGTTGCCCCATCTTGTCTTTCTGAAGCCCTTCCAAACCCAGGTCCCTCACCTGATTTTATGACCAGTTGAGTTGGAGTTGAAGTTATTCCCAAAGTTTCAGTGCCACATCCTGACTCTGATATTTGCTAGATGTATGAACCTTTGCAAGTCCTCTAAACTCAGAGCAAATTTCTCCATTAAATGGAATCAATATTCACATTTTATGGAAATACAAATTTCTGAAAAATTCAGTGTAAATTAATTGAATCACTTTCTGTTGGTCAAAAGGAGTGCTCCCTTTATTGTCCCGGTAATGTGATAAGTCCCTTCTAGCCACCAGGTGAATTAACCACCTCCCTCCCCCTCCCAACTCTCCTCCACACACATGCATTCTGGTTGAAGCAGGGGAGTTAGAATACTCCTTTTCTCCATTGCTATTTACAGACCACTATCACTCAGGAACCTCTTCTCCTTTGTGGTTCATTCAATCTATTTTTACCACCCAATTGAAATCCTGGTGGCTATTTTCTATAGTCCCCTCCAAGACATTCTTATTTCTTCCTCAAGGAATTGGTATATTCCTCCAATGAGTGAAGCAAAATACAAAACCAAGGCTCTAGTGGGTCCACTAAAAATTTATGTCAGCTAATCTAAACTGGGACCTCACTGCAGCAAAGCAATATTTCTAATCCTCTCATCTCTTTGTTCCAAGTCTTTTCTCCACAAACCTCCTCCAGAAACCCCTTCCCCATCCTCTATGCTGAGGATCTTAAATCATACTCAACTGAAAAAAATTGAAGCCATGAAATGAGAGCTTTTTATTTTCTCCTCCTCAGAAGATGTCCTCATAAAGACATTCTTCCTCCACAATCTCCTCCCTAACTGTGGTCTCAGGTGAAGAGGTAGCCCTTTTTGCCTAGGCAAACTTCTCTATGGACCACCTGGATCCAGCCAATCCCATCTTCTTGGGCAGGTTGCTCCCACTATCATTTCCTCCCTCTTTTTCTTTTCTTCAATCTCACCCTAACTACTGTCTTCTTCCATGCTGCCTACACCCTTATCTCTCCCATCCTTTAAAAAAACAAAACAAAACAAAACAAAACAAAACAAAAAAAACCCCATGACTTGATCCTACCATTTCTGCTGTGTAATGTCCTATATCTCTCCTCCCTTGTGGAGATGCATCTTGGTATCTGTTTATACGGGTGCTACAGCCTCAGCTGTACCTGTGCCTACTCCTTAGTAGCCACAGCTGCTTGGTTGTGGTCCATTGTTCTCGAAGAAGACCAAAATGACATCACTGTTAGAGTCACGGCACAGTATGTCCAACTGTGGCTGATCAGACCAATAGGAGCTCAGAGTGCTTTACCACAGGTCGAGCACAAGTAATTCATGTGAACATTTGGGGTGGATTCTCTAAATTTGCACATCTCACATTTCTTTTGAGCTACTTCAATTCTGCTTTACTCATAGAACATAGCCCCTTCTCTGATGTGGGCACACTAT